CTTTCCTTCTCTTTTCTCTTTCTCTCTCTTCTCTTAAGTCTCTCCTGTTCTTCCACTTCTTCCCTCTTCCTGCCTGGCCACACCCCTTGTCCCTATCCCCTGCATTTGTTTCCCTTCCTCTCCCAACCCTTCTTTTCTCTCTTCTGTTTAGCCTTTTCACATTTTCCTTTCATATCCTCTCTTCTCCTCACTGCCATTTCTGTTTCTCTCTCTCCCTCCTGCTGTGTCCCCTTTTTTTTTCTCTTTAAATGGGGATATCGCAGTTGATCTAATCATTTTTCATTAGTTGATGTGACTCAGTGAAAGTTCAAGTATCGTTTCAGGTTCATCTCCTGACCTCATCCTGGATACACTCCTCCAGTGTAAGACACTTATCTACAGCAGTATAAGGAACCCAGTTATATTTATACCTCTTATCAAGTATGTGAATTCTTGATCACTTTACTGCAATAGTTGAAGTGTGTATTTCGATAAAAAGTTCCATAAATGGTCGATCACAAGCATTCTATTAGGGGGCTTATTACCTGATTTTGTTAAGCGCTTTGATCCTGGAGGGAGGAAATAACTACGATTTTGAAAATTTGATAAATCAGCTGAAGTTATCTCTTCACTTTCTTGTATTAAACTGTTATTATATTATATTAGACTATATATTTTACTATATTATATTAGACTATTTTATTGAATTAGATTATTATTATATATTTTGTTGTTTTATAGATGGATCAGCAGAATTAGCCAAAGAAAAAAAGATGTCATAGGCATGAATCAAGAACAAAAAAATAGGAAATGCTTTTGAGATTACTCTACTGTTTGCCGAGTTTCTTAGAAACACGATGCAAATTTTTTTTTTCTTAAATCAAAGTACAGCTTATTGACTGAACTGAAATAACTCTAAATCTTTTATCTTCCTAGTTTTGACAAGGAGAGCTATGTGCATGGATGAGTTAGCTTTTTACATGTGTATTTCAGCAATATCATCCTCCGTTCATAAGTACTTCAGTTTTGAAATGTTCTATTTACCTCTAGGCTCGTGGCAAGCCATACATGTACTTGATGATATTATAATATATTAAATTTAAAATAAGATTAAAAAGAGTTGAACATGAAGTCATTACTGAGTTTATGGGTAAAAAGTAGATTGTCATAGGAAAATGCAAAATTGGGACGGAAATGGCTGGGTATTCTCCTGTTTTGTGGTTGTAATTTACAGCTTGCTGCTTTCCAGGAGAATCTTCAACACATTCAAGGTGCAAACTTCCTTAACCCCAAAGCTGTACCTGAAGTTCCTGTTACTAGGGAAACTTTGGCTCTTTATGGAAGAAAAGTCAAAGGTAAGCTGTGTCTTTTGGTATAGTGTCGTCCTGTTTATTTTTATTATGAGTGGCATAATTGGAGGTGCGGTGATTACGCTGTTTGCAGTTACGTAACTAAGACTGCAGTGCTTCTGTTGCCTTGAGATAATCTGGCAGACATCCTATTAAAGTTGTTAGTCTGTGTAATGACTAAGCAATTATAATATTGTTATGGATTGCTAGTAAGGCATTTGATATGGCCAGAACTTGCTCTTCAAAAGAAATTAATCCGGTAGAACTGCTAATCCTCAAGTGTCTCTCTTCCTCCCCCCCCCCAGCCAGAAAAAGGGCAGGATTTTTCAAGTTTCTCAAAAGCAGATTTTGGTTCCAGGATTAGGAGAACTCAACTTTACAAATGAGAAAAATATTAAAAGTGATATATAATGATTATGGTCTTTCTGAATTAAGAAATTAGTTGAAAGGCTATGTAATATTTATGATGCAAAGAAACAAAGATTTTATTTTATAAGCCTGTGGGATGAACTTCATGCTTAAAAGAATGTAAAAATGTATACATCTCAATATTGCCATTTGTAAATAGATAAATGAATGAATTTGTTACTCTTGTTATTGTTATTATTATAATATGATTGACTGATTATAATTGTCTTTTCCAAGTCCTGTCCTTAATACGGTATCTGTTTTCCAGCTTCCAAGTACAAGGATGTACATCATAAAGTCATTGCCCGTCCCTCAGTCATTTAAGGAGTGGGCACGACAGAACAACTTAGATTGGTTGAAGGGGAATGACTTCACCACAAAGAATATCTTGAAGAGAATGACAGTCTCAACAACTTTGAATGTAAGTGCATGACGGTAGTCCTGTGTTGGATTTGTTTATCTTGGAATTTTGTGGTGTTCAAGTTTTTCTTATTGTCGTCTTGACCAATGGGATCCAGATGCTTCTCTGCCATCAAAATAGGGGTGTTAGGCTTACTTAAGTGGCCACTTGACCAGGTGTGCAGTTTGTAGACTAGGCATTTAAGATCACTTGTGTGCAGCGACTAGACCCCATGTCTTCCTTTTGCAATGTTATTTTTTCTTTTTCTGCATAAGCATTTTTAATTTGTTTGCCATTTTCCAATGTTTATATTTGTCATCTGATTTGCCTCTACCTTATGGTAACAGACTCCATGTCATCTCTCTAGGTACTCCATGATTCATTGATATAATAGTAGCAATGAGTAACATTTTGTTATTTGTGTGATTTTTTTTTTTTTTTTTTTTTTTTTTTTTTCATAGTATTCAATTTTCTGTAGTACAAGCTGCACCGCCAGTCATTACAGGCAGGAATTAGGATCCTGAGTATGGAAGTACTGTCTTCCCTGGAGCTAATGCTCTTCCAGTCATGGCTCCTGGATGATACATTCCACACTAGTTTATTAACCCAATTGTGACGGGTGAAGAAAACGAAAAAAAAAATCTACGCTCTGGCAAACAATGGCGGCGCGCCGGCTTTGAGCGCATGAGTTCGGTACATCAGCCCGAATCACTGGCTCGCCGTGCTTTGGTGCGCCACCACGGTGTACAGCTGCATGCCAGCTTTCAAGCGGTTTGTTTTCACGGCTATCGGCGTCAACCGTCGTTAAGGGGTTAATGGAAACGATGCAAAAGTCCCTTACTAAATGCCCACTCAGGCTAATCACCCTCCAAGTGTACACTTGTGGTGAGCCTTTCCCAGCACCCCAGCCTTCTGCTGAAATTCTCTAGATGAAGTGTTCATGTCACCCATCCTCGAGCCAAATTTTTTCATGACATGATGGTTACATTATCTGGATGATAGGGGTTAATATTACTATTGATTGTTAGTTTTTCATCCATCTTTCGTAGTATTGTTATCTAAAAATAAATTTCTGTTATTGCATATGATAAGCTTTTGTAGGCCTGGCCTTATTTAAAACTGCTTTCACATTCCTTATCAGTGTCTTCATTTTCCCCCCACAGATTTTGCATGGGAAACGTGTTGTAAAACCACAGGAGCTTGCTTGTGATAAAACAATGAAGGAGGTGAATAATAAGAACAAAAACATACTTGTTCAAGAAAAGGAAACCGTTGCCAGTGAACACTGTGAAGTCAAAGCTGAAAACACAGGGAATAATGATGAAAAGAAAAAGAAGACAAAGAGGAAGAAGAAGAAGAGGAACAAGAAAAAGAAGGCAAATACAGACAAAGAAAAGGATGATTCCATATCTAGGAAAGAGACAGAGGAAATGACAAAGAGGGATGAAGCGAAAGAGCAAGAGAATGCCAAACCAGGAAAGAGCGCGCTAAAGCAAAGGGAAAGAGAAGGAGACGATGAATTGCCGGAAAATATCAAGAAGCTGAAAGTCCAAAGCGTCCAGAAAGTAGTCGAGAAACGTGAAGAAACAAGTCAGGAAGAAATGTCCGACAGTTTTAGGGAGAGAAAGTCAAATAATCAGAAGCGTAAGAGTCTAGAAGAAAACTCACCAGTTTTGGCCAAAGTGAAAAAGTTTGCTTCAAAGAGTGGAGAGGAACTTATGGAAAAGGATATAGAAGTTCTGGATGAAAATAAGAAAACTAAGAGAAAATTGGAAACTGTTGTTGATGAGGCTAAGGAGAGGATTGATAATAAGAGGAAGAACGATACTATGTTGAAACGTGCATCTGAAAAAATCAGGACCGACAAGTACGTAAAAGCTGTTCAGAAGTTAGCTGACACACACCAGAAAGGAAAGGAAGCAGGACATTCTGATGCATCTCGAGTTGCAGAAAGCCAAATTCACAAGGGCAGAGTGAACATTGTGAAGAAGAATCAGCAAGTAACGAGTAGAAGCGAGGAGTTCAACAGCGTGGGTGAAGAGATAGAGGAAGCCATTCACAGTATGGTTGAGAATAAAGAGGTTAAGACTCCCGAGGTGAAGAAGAAGCTCTGTCTCGTCAGTGAGGTTACTCCCGATGGCCAGAATAAGAAGCTGAAGACACCACCAGTGATAAGATTACATGATAGGAGTCTGGAGAAGAAACAGTTAGGCTCTAGTCCATTGAGTGGAAGAAGTGAGGAGAGTGTGACTAGCCCCAGGGAGAAGGCAACCCTGACAAGAGAAGATATCATTGAAGTGCGGCAGAGAATAAGACGCAATAGTGTTAGCTTTACTGTCACAGATTTACTGCTGAATGATGTAACCCCTAATAAAGGAAAGTCACCCTACCAAGGAACTAACAAAATTTGTAGTAGAACAGTTCAAAGTCCATCTGGAATGACCTTTGAAGTTTTTGACATGGACGATGACGATGACCAAAGTGTAGATTCAGATGACGCATCGAGTGACAGAGCATCGACTGAGGAACCTGGAGAGGAAAGTAATGTGAATGAAGAAGCTGAAGAGAATGATACTTCTGATATTATTGAGGTTTCTGAGACTGATTCAGTAGTAGCCGTAACACAGACCCCTAAGAAGGATCATGCTGTTAATGATAAGACCAAAGAAATAAGCAATACTTCTGCAGGAAAGGAATTAGATTCAGAACTGGAAATTGTCGAAGTTATTCAGAGCAAAGAGCCTGCTGCTTCTGAGAAAGATGAAGCTGCACTTGAAGATTCATCAGATATCGATGAAGCATCTGGATCTGACTCTGACATCATTCCGTGCGATGAAACTGCCAAGATGTTTACAGATGAAGAAAATAAACATTACCATGATAAACTAATTGCACAGGAATTAAAAAGAAAGGCAGAAAATATCGTGGAAATGGATAAACTAGAATTCCAGAGGAAGAAGACTAAGGAGAATGGCCACCATGTCAGTAATGGCGATGATGCTAGGAACCCCAACACAGACGAGAGGAAATGTGAAGTAGTAACTGTGGATTGTAGTTCCAATAGCCACGCCGACGAAAAGCGGGGAAGTGAACAAGAATTAGAGAGCGACGGGGACATGGAAATACTCCTGCAGACGATTGCCAGGGATACTGGTAGAATAGCTTCTGTGAGTGGATTTAAAGAAAACTTGGTTCCTAAGGAGGTTATTCAAGACAGATTAGAAGAAACCAATGTTAAGGAGAGTGCAGTGAAAGAAAAAGAAGCTGATTTAGCTTCTGAAAACAAAAAGTTATTATCAAATGGTCCTGTAAGTACCAGTGAATCCACAGATGAAAATCTTTCAAATCATGCAAAGGACTTGGACAGCAGGAAGGTAAATGGTATAGATGCACTAGCAAAGAGTCCTATTCTGTTTGAGGATGACGTTATAGAAAATAAGAAAGATGAAGATACCAAGCATAGACCTGAAAATGAAGCACCTTCTGAAAATAACAAGGAAAGTGATATTAACAGTGAAAATGTTGAAAGCAAAAGTCAAGAGAATAGCATAGAGGTCGAGAATAAGTCTGCAGCTAATGACTCCTTCAGATCAGAATCACCGGATGTAGAACCCCTCAGGCTCGACAGTGAGTCCCCACAGAAGCCAACTGTTTCTCCAGACAATAAGAATTCCCAGTCCGTAGAGAATACTTCAGGCACACCTGCACCACCACCTTTGAAAGATTCAATGCCTGTAGATTCTGTAGAAGAGGATTCTGAATCTACTGAAGGGGCTGATGAGGCATACGAAGCCAGTAGTGATGCGTCGGAGGATCCCATGCCAAAAGTTCGCAAAAGGACCAGGTCATTACGGAGAAATCTTATTTCGCATTCTGTTTTGCAGGATGCCTCAGATTCCGATGTTTCTCCTATAAGAAACAGGAGAAGTCGTATGACTTCTGAAGTGACATCCACTGCAGGAAAGGAATCTCCCCGTAGGCAAAGGACACGCAGCTCATGTTCAGAAGTTACGGGGCCTTGTCCAGATACTTTAGATACAGGTCGGCTTGAATCGGCTCCCAGTGATATAGTTAATGATATTAATATAAAGTCCTTGAGTGAAGTTGTGTGTGATGTTCATCAAAACATTAGTGAATGTGATTCTTTGTGCAGCTTAGAAACTATGCAGGATTCCACAGGTACTCATATTACCAGTGAAGACACTTCTTTCTTCTTAAATGATGTGAAAGGATCACACAGCATATCCTCAAGTGCTACACCCATTGTTTCAGCTTCAGGAACTCCCATTAAGAATGTTACTGACTCGGTGTCATCCCCTATTACCAGACGTTCCTCCAGACTACTTGCTAGCGAAGTCCTTGAAAAAAGTAAAACTCAGAGGCGATCTCTACCTTCAGGTGCGCTTTCTGATGCAGCAGTCACCACAAAAACCTTAGCAACAAGAGTTCTGACCAGAAATGCAAGACGAAAATCTTTTTCAGACACTGAAGTGCACTCACAGCAGGCACATCAGCAGAAGCTTGATGTGATAGGAAGTCCAAAGGTAACTGAAAAAATAGAAAGTAATATTACAGAGATCATGAAGGATACTGATGGAGAACTTGACTCTGACAACTTGTCTCTAGGATTGGATGGAAATTTCAGTTCTTCTAGTCTCTCTTGCAGTCTCCTTCAGATTGAAGAGGAACCCCTTGCTGAATGTGATAATAATAATGAAAAACAGATACAGGCTGTTGTAAATGACCTGAGAATATATGAAATAAATGCAGATGCAACAAGTGAATCTCAGACCCAAGAGAAGGAACAAAAGGTAGTATTAGCAAATCAGGTCAATGCTTCAGCGGAAGACTTGCAAGAGGGCACGGATGCAACAGAGTCTGACATTATGTGCCATGCTTCTGATTCTGAAAATCAAGTAAAACTAAAAGAAACTGAATCTATGGAGGTTGTTATTTGTGATCAGCTAATAAAGGAAACAGCACTGGAAGAAGTAGAGGCTTGTTTACCTGAAGATGTAGATGAAGAACTTGAGGTCCTCTCAACATCTGGTGTAGATGATACTGAAGATTTATCCTATGGATTGTCCAGTTCTTTCACACTTAATAAGGATGAGGATTCAGAAAATCCAGAAACACAGATGACAACTCCAAAATCCTTCACTAGATTAAGGTCCTTGTCTCAACGTAGATCTGGTGGCAAGGGTTCTAAGAAGGATGATAGAGTCAATGATCTGAAGTTTGATTCTCCTCATCTGTCCTCTCCAAAAGTCAAAGCTCAGCTAGTCTCAGAAGCCGTCTTGAACAAAGAAGTTCTAATAAGCCCTGAGGTCAGTGATGAAGAGTGTGAGTTGGTATCACCTGGGGGAGACGAGACTGACCTGCCAAAGGACAGTTTCTCACTGGCCGGTGGTCCTGATCCTCTTACACCAGTAAGCCGTAGGAATAAGAGGAGGAGTGGAGGTGGCATTAGATCTCCTCAGAAAATGATCCCAGAAGAGCAGGATGAGACTACGACTCATATGGCTAGTGTTCGTGGATCTCCTGCTAGTAAGGCATCACGCATTCAGAAGACCAAGATGTTTTCAGCAAAATCACCCAAAATTGTTGCAGAAAATACTGAAGGAAGTGCAGACATAACTGTATCAGAACAGCAAAAATCTGTTATTACAGAAACAGAAAACAAAATAAAGTCCCCTGCAAAGAGTGCATTGGAAGAACCTTCGGAAGAAATCCTTTCGAATACACCTCCCGTTCTAGAAACACCAGCAACGACACCATCCCCTAGAAGAAATTCAGGCAAAGGCCACATCACAGGCTCAGGCAGTCAGGAAGCTCCAGATATTGATGCAGAAAGTGATACTTCTGTTGTGAAAGAGTCAAGTGAGGTGGCCAGTGTAAGTAAACAAGAGACCGGCTCAAATTTGGACTCGGAAAATAAATATTCCCCAGTGAAAACAAGACGGAACAGAAGGTCATCGCTTGCAATTATGGCCCAAGAAGGCAAGCTAACAGACAACGATAAGATTAGCAAGCTAAAATATAGCTCGCCTGAACAACAGGATGAAAATGCAGAGAAGACATCGAAAGAGGATTCTACGCCTGTATATAGAACGCGTCGAAGCATGACTCTGAAGAAGCAAGACCTGAAACAAGAGTTGTTATCTGCCCCATTCTCCCCCAGGAGGAGCAGTAGAAGGAAGTCAGTAGCATCGAATTCATCTGAGAGCACAGTAAGTGATCAGTTTGTTTTAAGACCTGAATCCAAAAACTTATTCGTCTTTCTCT